GGGGGGGGGGGTCGAATAAAGTTCCAGGGGGGTGGGGGGGGGGGCTAGTTCCGTGCCTGTGAAAACATCCCGCTCTCATACTTGACAACGCCACTCTTCAAATTAACCCCTTATTAAATGCAGCCTTTATTGAGGATTTGAACTTGGCTTCAAGTCAACCAAAATTTTCTTGGACAAATGCTGTCTTCACCCTCCTTAATAACTTTAACATTGACCCCATAAATTTCTCACCTAAACAAATTAAACTCACATTTCATTCTTTAATTTATCATGACTCAATCAACAGCCCCCACAATAAATTGAGAACATACGGTTCTGTCAAACCCTTTATCTCTACTCCAACTCACTATCTAAAGCATATCAAAAATCCCAAATACAAAACCGCATTGACCTCATTGAGACTAAGTACACATCAATTAGAAATTGAGAGATGTTGGTACAGACAAATTCCTGTTGATAAACGAATATGACAACAATGTGATTTATCCTTGGTTGAAGATGAATACCATTTCCTCCTGATATGTCCTAAATACAATACCCTTACAGTCCTAACTTTTACTACCACTTGGCGGCCATTACAGCCAAAACTGGAATGTGATGGTTCATTACTCTTTGACAGATATGATACAAATTTACATTGCACCTTGTTCCCAATACCTCACTAAGAAGGTACTATAACTTGACCTGTTCTTGACACCCTGGTATTAGATTTCATGTTCTAAATTTAGTACAGAGCCCTTCTTCACTAGATTAAATTTGAAATTTTGGTTCTCCTTAGCAAAACCCTGATCTTTGAAAGGAAGATAGTCGTGAAATTTCAGAAATCAGAATCCTATCAATCAGGAATATCAACAAACAAATCTGATCACTATAGAAACACAATTTTATATGTGATAAAATTTTGCAATTTTTAAAAAGCTGCAAAGTTTTAGCATTTCAAAACCATATAAAAAGTTTGGAGGCTAACGTATCTATTCAGATAAATAGAGGTGTTCCTCAAAATAATATTAAATAATAATTCCAGCCATAAAATGTCAAATTAGTTCTTGTAGGAAATGCATCTAAATCTCCAAATATGTGCTCATAAAATTGGCAGTCTAAAATAGGGTAGGCCTAAGTAAGTAAATGAACTAAATCGCTGCTTTTCATGACTGAAATTGCTGAAGCGCCATAGATGGTCGATGGGTCCCCGAGGTTTTAAAGGGTTTTACATTACAGCAAAATACATTTAGACAGAAACAGCAACTCATTATGGACATACATGCATACCGAGTAAAGCGACAGTCGCAGCGTGTGGCCCACTTAAGGGGCCTCAGTGGGGTCCATAGGCGAAGTTGCTGATTTTTTTCTTTTCATTTTCAATTATTTCACTGTTTGCTCATTTCTTTCAAAGTCTATTCATGCGCCAATTTGTAAGTGCCGAGCGCAACCAGTTGAAAGACTCATTAAGTTATTATTGAATTATTTCAAAACAAGATACAAAAGAAACCAAGGAGTTTATAGAATGCTTGATATAGTCCGTCATGCTGTTGCATAAATTTATATATATTTTTGTTTCTTAAATTTGCCACCACATATGGTGTGTATTTGTTGATGCATTATTTTGTTATGATGTTGCTTTTTTTCAAACTTGTTTATGTATACACTATATTTTTTTTGTATAACTATTAATTGATATCAGTGTGTCATATTTGTGTCATGATGTATGCTGCCGAAAAAGGGCGAACAATACAATAAATAAATATCTATCTATCTATCTATCTATCTATCTATCTATCTATCTATCTATCTATCTATCTATCTATCTATCTATCTATCTATCTATCTATCTATCTATCTATCTATCTATCTATCATACAATACAATATAATAATACAATAGGCCTAGTGTCCACGGGAATAATTTATTCAATTAAATAATTTGAATGATAGACCACTGCATCCTTTTGATCGTTTAATTTAAAATTTTACAAATTGCAAATGCGAAGGTGCGAAGATACAAAGCTGCCGCTGTCACAAATATGATCAGAATCAGTCAATGGAATAGAAGAAGATAAGGTAAACCTTGTTGAGAACTGCCTGCAGGTCCTGATAGAAACTCTGAGACTGGTTGATCGAGAAAACATGAACGTGGTTCCGGTTCGGAAGTTCTTGAGAAAATCTCTCGACTCGAAGACAACTGGGGGAGTTTTCAGGAACTGACGTATATTTTAGAAGTTTGGGACTTTGCAGATGTCCAAGAAAATGTTCAATAAGTTCACATCTTTGCTGCAGAATGCAGTAGACTCGGTAAGTTTGTAACATTTAGGATTAAAATGGTTTGTTTACAAATTTCACAGAACTGTCAAAACCAAGGGACGTAATCAGTGAACGTGAAAAATGTAAACAAAGTATTTAATTTTTTGTGTTTTGATGATTCTATGCCCCTAAAGCTCCCCACCTCGTCATGAATTTACTGGAAACAGAGTGGGATTAAGACTTGCTTCTTTTCTCTTAACCATTAATATAATATATTCCCCCTGCCAGTAGCCTATATTTGGAGAGGGGAGTGTGAGGGAATTTATAACTCACTGTACAATAAAACTGCCCTCTATGTCTTTTAGTTTTTTCCTTTGTCGATAAAGGAGGGGAGATTGGGAGGGGTGGGGGGTGGTAGGGGATTGAAAACTGAATGCATACAGACTCATTATATTTTTCAGTTTGTTCCTAATTTAACTCTACAAGAAGAATTTATCCACCATTGGAATGCTGTCACACATTATTTTGTTGACAATAAAGGTAGGCCTACTGTACTTTACCAGAATAGATTTTAATTGCTACTGCATAATTTCTTTGGTCAGACTTTGAACGTTATAAAGATCTCTCAGGTCGCTCCACATTTTGAAATAAAAAGATTTATGCTAATGCTGCTGTTCTGGCAAAGAAGTCTGGCCTTGCCCAGGTTCCTCAGATGTGATACACAGATGTGATATTGTGCAAGAATGTGTATTATCTGTAAATATTTACATTTTATTGTCACTTGCTACAGTGAACCCATGTGAGAAATTGTTTTCATATAGTGATGAACTACAATTTTCCTGAGTGATCAATGATGATTTAAGGACGTTGTAGTGACTTCACCATTTATTCGAATTAACAAGTGAAAATACTGCGTTCATCAACCAATTCAATCCTTAAATAACTCACTAATATAATCGATTAATAATCAAAATAATTCAATTGAGAAAGCCTGTTAACAGATATAGTGGGGAAAATGTAACTTTGACATATAATCAATTATGAAATTTGCTAATTGATAACCGAAATTATAAATTCCTAGCGACGATGATTGATAATCATTTTACCTAGATGAGACGACTTGTCAATATCCACCAGATTAACCTTTGAACCCTGAATGTAAATAAAATAAAACATCATATACCCTCCACGTAATATAAATAAAGTAATATAAATAAAGTAATATAAATAAAGTAATATATATAAATAAAGTAATATAAATAAAGTAATATATATAAATAAAGTAATATATATAAATAAAGTAATATATATAAATAAAGTAATATAAATAAGGTAATATAAATAAAGTAATATAAATAAAGTAAATAAAGTAATATAAATAAAGGCTATGACATGTGACGTTGTGTTACATCATTTAGTAACCCGCGTGGGTACATATTGTGAAATTATGTGGCCAGTAAACCTGCCGCAAGGGTTGAAAGGGTTCATGCCATTGTCCTAGCAAAATTTCCTCCATTGCACACTGCCTAGCATTGCCTATCTTTATTTATCCTTGACTGGTAGTACCTGTATGATTAATTTTAGGTCTGAATTTAACAATCTTTTTAAGAACACAAGATATTATCTTATTTCATTTTACTTATGAACGTTACCTGTGTTTTAAAACATGGTACCTATGTAATAAATTCAGAAGTAGTACAGTGAAACAAGTCCATGTATATCTTAATGTTAACCTTTCTAGTTCTATATATCTAGAAGACAGATGTAGAATAGATTAGACAACTAGTCTATATTCCTTTCGAATAATGCCATTGTTCTGGCAAAATTTCCCTCGTTGCACACTACCTAATGTTGCCTATCCTCATCCTAGATAGAAAGTATTAGTACCTGTATAATTTATTTTAATCAATCTATTTTTCTAGAAGAAAGACGAAGAATAGATGAGACGACTATACCTGGTCATATAGAACAGATGGTATTAATTCTGGTACAGGAAGAGAGAGAGCAGCTAGAACCCGGAACCACAGGACCTTGTCTAGAATATCTCCTTCATCACAAATTACTAGATACTCTTTATACTCTCGGCAGAACAGACGTAAGTTACTGAGTTTATCATGATATAGCTTTTTGTCTTACTGGTTGTTCTATCACCTGATACAGTTCTATTTCTATAGCGTACTACTAACTACTTGTCAAACAGGGACACAGGCTGAAATAGTCCAGTTGTCTGAAGATCTCTACTTGTCAAACTTCAGTAGTGACGTAGGCTGAAATAGATCAGTTGTCTGAAGATCTCCACTAGTCAAACTTCAGAAGGAACACAGACTGAAATAGTCCAGTTGTCTGAAGATCTCTACTTGTCAAACTTCAGTAGGGACGTAGGCTGAAATAGATCAGTTGTCTGAAGATCTCCACTAGTCAAACTTCAGAAGGAACACAGACTGAAATAGTCCAGTTGTCTGAAGATCTCTACTTGTCAAACTTCAGTAGGAACACAGGCTGAAGTAGTTCAGTTGTCTGAAGATCACTACTTGTACAACTTCAGTAAGGACACAGTGGCTGAAATAGATCAGTTGTTTGAAGATTTCTACTTGTTAAAATTCAGTAGAGACACAGGCTTAGATAGATCAGTTGTTTACACAGCATGAAAATCTGAGTAACAACATGTTGCAGATTCCCTTTTAATATTACCTGTAATCTTCTCTACCAGCTGTTTATTATTGTAGCACCCTCCTGGTATGAAACAAGTTATTCTGGTATTTTTTACCAAGTTATTATCGAGAATAGAACATCCATTACTACCCCATATCAATGTACATAGAGCTGTTCAGGTAATTACTTTACTACCCTATATCAACGTACATAGAGCTGTTCAGGTAATTACTTTACTACTCCATATCAACATACATAGAGCTGTTTAGTTAATTACTTTACTAACCCATATCAACCTACATAGAGCTGTTCAGGTAATTACTTTACTACCACATATCAACATACATAGAGCTGTTTAGTTAATTACTTTACTAACCCATATCAACCTACATAGAGCTGTTCAGGTAATTACTTTACTACTCCATATCAACATACATAGAGCTGTTTAGTTAATTACTTTACTAACCCATATCAACATACATAGAGCTGTTCAGGTAATTACTTTACTACCACATATCAACATACATAGAGCTGTTCAGGTAATTACTTTACTACCCCATATCAACGTACATAGAGCTGTTCAGGTAATTACTTTACTACCCCATATCAACATACATAGAGCTGTTCAGGTAATTACTTTACTACCACATATCAACATACATAGAGCTGTTCAGGTAATTACTTTACTACCACATATCAACGTACATAGAGCTGTTCAGGTAATTACTTTACTACCCCATATCAACGTATATAGAGCTGTCCAGGTAATTACTTTACTACCCCATATCAACATACATAGGACTGTTCAGGTAATTACTTTACTACCCCATATCAACATATATAGAGCTGTTCAGGTAATTACTTTACTACCACATATCAACATACATAGAGCTGTTCAGGTGATTACTTTACTACCACATATCAATGTACATAGAGCTGTTCAGGTAATTACTTTACTACCCCATATCAACGTATATAGAGCTGTCCAGGTAATTACTTTACTACTCCATATCAACGTATATAGAGCTGTTCAGGTAATTACTTTACTACCCCATATCAACGTATATAGAGCTGTCCAGGTAATTACTTTACTACCCCATATCAACGTATATAGAGCTGTCCAGGTAATTACTTTACTACCACATATCAACATACATAGAGCTGTTCAGGTAATTACTTTACTACCCCATATCAACGTATATAGAGCTGTCCAGGTAATTACTTTACTACCCCATATCAACTTATATAGAGCTGTTCAGGTAATTACTTTACTACCCCATATCAACGTATATAGAGCTGTCCAGGTAATTACTTTACTACCCATATCAACGTATATAGAGCTGTTCAGGTAATTACTTTACTACCCCATATCAACGTATATAGAGCTGTTCAGGTAATTACTTTACTACCCGATATCAACGTATATAGAGCTGTCCAGGTAATTACTTTACTACCACATATCAACGTACATAGAGCTGTCCATGTACTTACTTTACTACCACATATCAACATACATAGAGCTATTCAGGTAATTACTTTACTACCCCATATCAACATATATAGAGCTGTCCAGGTAATTACTTTACTACCACATATAAACATACATAGAGCTATTCAGGTAATTACTTTACTACCCCATATCAACGTATATAGAGCTGTTCAGGTAATTACTTTACTACCACATATCAACATACATAGAGCTGTTTAGTTAATTACTTTACTAACCCATATCAACCTACATAGAGCTGTTCAGGTAATTACTTTACTACCACATATCAACATACACAGAGCTGTCCAGGTAATTACTTTACTACCACATATCAACATATATAGAGCTGTTCAGGTAATTACTTTACTACCACATATCAACATACATAGAGCTGTTCAGGTAATTACTTTACTACCACATATCAACATATATAGAGCTGTCCAGTTAATTACTTTACTACCACATATCAACGTACATAGAGCTGTGCAGATAATTACTTTACTACTCCATATCAACGTACATAGAGCTGTTCAGGTAATTACTTTACTACCCCATATCAACGTACATAGAGCTGTCCAGGTAATTACTTTACTACCACATATCAACATACATAGAGCTGTTCAGGTAATTACTTTACTACCACATATCAACATACACAGAGCTGTTCAGGTAATTACTTTACTACCACATATCAACATACACAGAGCTGTTCAGGTAATTACTTTACTACCACATATCAACGTACATAGAGCTGTTCAGGTAATTACTTTACTACCCCATATCAACGTACATAGAGCTGTTCAGGTAATTACTTTACTACCACATATCAACGTACATAGAGCTGTTCAGGTAATTACTTTACTACCACATATCAACATACATAGAGCTGTTCAGGTAATTACTTTACTACCACATATCAACATACATAGAGCTATTCAGGTAATTACTTTACTACCACATATCAACATACACAGAGCTGTCCAGGTAATTACTTTACTACTCCATATCAACATACATAGAGCTATTCAGGTAATTACTTTACTACCACATATCAACATACATAGAGCTATTCAGGTAATTACTTTACTACCCCATATCAACATACATAGAGCTGTTCAGGTAATTACTTTACTACCACATATCAACATACATAGAGCTGTCCAGGTAATTACTTTACTACCACATATCATACATAGAGCTGTTCAGGTAATTACTTTACTACCACATATCAACATATATAGAGCTATTCAACTAAATTTTTCTCTTAATACTTATTCTTGTTTAACGTTGGTTTTTCTGGTTTTTGAATGTTACTCCCTGCTGGTTTCTGGTTCAGGACTCTAATGAGTTCACATCTTGTCTGATGATTTGCCTTAAGTTAATTGTTTTATTTTTAGAGATTAGTAAAGACTTGTGGTGAGGTAAGAGCTGGCCCAACAGAAAAAGAAGAAATAGAATATTTATGTACAGTTTGCTCTAAAATTAAAGCTGATCCTCATCTTGTAAATTTCTTTATTGAGGTAGGAACATTTTATATTTTAGTTTTTTTTTCTATTATTTATATGTCTCACTGCAGACTTACATGGAATAAGAGTGAATTTTTTTTAATAAGATAATAAACCACGGCCCTGTGTACTACAGACTGCTCACGTCAAAGATCCCTCGACATAAGAGTTTGCTAATCATTAGCTCCCCCTGCTGACCTGATAAAATTTCATACAATTCAGTATAACATCTGGCAAAATCTTGAGCAGAATGTAGGATGTAAAACTTCTTTTCATATTTCTTATTTGCTGGAATATTTAATTTATTTGATTGTTTTATTTCAGCCAACCAAGTCTTCCAAGAAATCCAGTCAGTCTAAACAATCCAATACGGGTCAGAAAACATTAGATTTTAGTTTAATAAAAGCCTTGTTAATTCTGTCTTCCAGTAATGTAAGTCTGCTTCAAAATATTTACATCTTTTTATATCGAAACAACTGTGATTTTTGATAATTGTGTCAGACTGTTTTATTGTCTGCATGGCAGATCGTCATCATCCAATCAGATTCATTTCCCTTTCTGCACATGATTAGTGACATGATGGACAGGGGCCGACTGGAGATTTTTGTCTCCTTTTGTGCCAATGCTCATCAACGAAACTCATTACAAGATTCTAGTCGGAGATAAAAATCTCCCACCAAGACCTTTTGTGTGCCCGCAACTTGAGATATGCAAGATCTACCAGAGCCATTTTTATACCCCTAATAATTTCAAAGATTATCACTAACCTGTCAATTATAAAATGACTACAGATAGTTTCTGACTATTTCCAGGATGCTAGAGTCTGTGTTAAGGCGTGTGAAGGTATAATGTTATGTGCCAGTTTATCTGAACAGTCCTCCGCCGACTGTATCGTCCGTCAGACCTCCTTCTGTGATGTATTAATAGATAGATTGTGTGGGTTGTATGATAAGCTACCACCAGTCGTCAGCCCCAGTGATGTCGAGTCTGTTGATGCTAAATGGGGGTAGGTATTGTTTTGTTATTGAGGGTGAAGCTATTAGTAAGGGGTTATATTGAGGGTGGGGCTTAATGGGGGTAGGTAGTTAGAGGTAACATTGAGGGTGAGGCTAAATGGAGGTAGGTATTGTTTTAATTGAGGGTAGGGCTAAATGATTATTTCGAGTCTGTTGATGCTAAATGGGGGTAGGTATTGTTTTAATTGAGCAGTGCTTATATTCTGGGGGGTAAAACTTGATAAAATATCATTGTATAAAATAAGAAATCTATATAATATCCTATCACTAAAACTGTCATTAGTGACTAGATATAACTGGCTGTCTGATATATAAAACTATAGTTCTCTCCCCTTTTACAACTACTCTATTAGATACGTTAGATTCTCCTTGCTTCTAAATAAAGTTTCAATTTGATAGGTTAGATGCTGTAGTAACAGTTAAAGAAGATCAACAGACGTTTCAAGGGAAGTGGCAGTTAACCTCGTTCCTAGCGTGGTTAGATTATTGTGATCAGTTGATCGGTATCTCTCACCCGACCATCGCCGCTGCCCTCGCTACAACTATTACTGATAAATTATTAGTACAGAAATTACATAAAGATCTTCTACAACCGTAAGTTAATAACTCTTCCTTTTAAAGGATGGGAAAATACCATCTTGACCTTTGAAACTTTTCTGACACGCTATAGACCCGTCTTCATTAGCCCAATAAGGTGCAGAAGAGTAGGACGTAAAACTCCATTCATTTCATTTAATTGGCTAGAGAGCAAATCAGCTGATAGTGATTGTAGAAAAGAAATACCATTGAAACAACCACTGATAAAAGATACCAGTAAAATAAGTGACATTATCTGATATCTTACTGTCAAAAATGTCAACGTTAAGTTTTTCAGAGATTTCAGAGTTTTAAAGAATTAAAGGGACAGATACCCCATTCTTTTTGACAAATCATTCTTTAGTCTCAGAAACGTAAATATGTTAGCTAAGCCAATCTGAAATAATGTTCACAGCTCACGATCGACATTTGTGTGGCCAGAATTTTCCGTGTTTGAATGTTAAAATGACGACTCGTCAATTTAAGAAACTCTGTTATATATAGAAAAGACATGTATATAGAAATAGTGAGTAAAATTCCTAGTTAGAGATATTTTGAAAGAATTATGTGATTTTTGTACATTTCTAGTACTTCTGAAGACTATTTACATATATTGAAGACTCAAATCAACCCCACAACCCCTTTAAAGTTGTTCATATATCTTGACCATGAACTGAAATTTTTGACGTCTGTTCCCTATTATCCTCTTGACAAACTCAGGTGTTATTTTTAATTTACCATAAACTTATAATGGAAAGTTATTGATCGTTTTAATTTTCAATTTGAAATGAAAATAAGAATTTGACTTTAATTGTGAACTTGTTGAACTAAGTGTAACTATGTATTATTTCTATTAATTATTTGTGTTGATGTAGACAGACGTCCATTACTGATATTTGATTTGATGAAATTCTCTAATATTCCTGACATTTCTATTAATCTATTCAATATTTATTCTCATTGGTTTCTCACAAGTTTATTTTCATTTTATTCTTACATTTTATAAAAATGGTTTTTAATTTTATTGTGTTTATTTTTCTTACGGTGTACATGACTTTGAAATAAATTAATCTAAGTGATATACCCAAAATAATACTTTATTAGTTACTGATAAGAATGTCAAGTTAATAAACTTGAATTCCAGATAATAATGTGAACTCTCTGAAAGAGCTGTCAAGTTAAATTGTCCTTTTACAAACCCCCAAAATATTGCTGCATTGTTAGGTAAGGTGAAATGAAGAGTTGACAAAGTAAATTGTAGTCTAGGTTAATGGACAATGAATTATCAACTCTATATCTTCTATTTTTACAGATCTGAAACAGGAGTGGTTATGGCTACAGCTTATTTTACTAAATGTTTAAAAGTTGTCTGTTCACCACCATTATTAATAGGTATGTTTGACTTATCTTTATAAGAAATTAAATGTGCCCGTAATGTCCAAAATCATTAGTACCTTGATATAGTGTGAATGTGAACTCGTGTGACACGAGTAAGACTAGCTGGTCTGACCAAGTCTACTTCCCAAGAGCATTGTGGGAGAAACCACGTGCATTGAAAGGAACATTTCGATTTTGTTTTTCACCGCATTTCTGTGGTCTTTAATTGTGAATTTGTGAACTATGTGAACTTTTGTGAAATGTATGAACCCTGTATGAATAATATATGTAAAAAGTATAAAGGTGACTTTTGTTATTTTCAATGTAGCCTGTGAAACCACGGAGGGCGCGTTCTAAATTATTGATTTGCCTTCTTTTTCTCTGATGCTTTTTAATTTCCATGAAGGTATTTCCACAGTGCCCTTTACAAGGTCATTAAAGTGGTATTTCTCACTGACTTCCCCTATTTTAATCCTGACAGAAAATCTTCAAGGGACCGTGATTGTAAAATTCAGTTACCATTTGAGTACAAGTAACTAATGTAGGGTTTGAAATATAGAATGGAACTATTTGTATATGAGTAACAGAATATTTGGCACAATTACTTTAAAGGGACAGATGCTCCATTGTTTTGACCAATCATACTCTAGTCTCAGAAACAGGATTATTTTAGTTAAGTTGATCAGTAATAATGTTCACAGGTCACCGTCAAAATTTGAGCCTTCAAATCCATGTGTGTCTAGAATTATCTTTAAAATGTTAAAATCGTCATTTCTTAGGACTCTGCCATATATTGAAAGAGAAATTCTTAGTTTGAGGTAATTTTGAAAGAATTATGCAATTTTTGTACATTTCTAGTACTTCTGAAAATAGCAAATCTGTTCCTTTTTACATTTGCATTATTCTAAAATTATTAAAATATTGTAATTGTATAAGATACTCTGCTATATATAGAAAAGACTTCTATAGAAATAGTGAATAAAATTCTAGTTTAAGATATTTTTGGATTTTCATGCATTTCTAGTACTTCTGAAGATATTTAGATATTTTCAAGACTCCGTGAACCCCCCAAAATGGCGCACCTGTCCCTTTAAACACTAACTTTCTTCTAATATTAAAGTTTTTCATTTTAGAATTTTCTCATTTTTTACTGGGTACGAAACAGGAAGTAGAATTGCCCAGTGAGGAACAACCTGTTATCAGAAAGAGGCTGTTAGAACGATGTGATCACCTTTCAGACGAGGTGAGAAGAATTTTATAGATCAACCATTGTTGTCTTGCCTGGGTCCTGGAGGAGTCAGTGATGGGGTGGGGGTTTTAATTCAGATTCAATTCAGATGACATCAGGAGATTTACTCTCGATGAGATGCAACCTTTAATATCTAGATTGGGGCCTGTAATTGTTTTGTTATTAGTTGTTGTTATTTGATTTGTTACCTTTAATTTGTTATTCCAAAATTGTTACCTTAATTGTTGATATGTTATTTTTGGATTATTCTGTTTCTAGGTCAGCATAATAACTATGAGGTTATTTGAAACTTTACTCCACAAAGAAGACGAATCTATTTATCATAATTTAATTCTACGCAATTTGATTGGACGGTGTTATCTTGACGAAAGTTCGGTAACTTCTTACAATAGTGCCAATATTGAGAACTCTAGCATGAAGACAAATTGTGTCCCAGATTCTGATAAACTTGAAAATCTTGCAGACGGTTCCACTGACGAACGCCAAAATAAATCTTCTGTAACTAACTGTGACAGTGTCGTTAGTGACAAAAATGCAGAAAGTAGAAATTCTGAGGAAATATCTTCCATTTCTAAAATGCAAGAAAGTGATAAAACATCAGAGAATGCAGACCAAACTGATAATTCAAATCCTGCAAATATGGAAACAGCAAACCGCAATCCAAACTCAGAAAAGGCAAGCACAACTGTCTCAGTGTCAGAACCAAAATGTGAAATTTCCACTTCATCATCAGCAGAAACAAAGGACAGCAATTCTACCGCAACGCAGCTCAATACACAGACGAAGAAGACCACTCCTGAGTCATCAAATTCAGACACAAGGGAGGCCACTCCAAACTCTACAAAAGAAAGTACGCCCAGTACTGTATCAACTAGTCAGAGATCTAGCGAGTCCCCAGACACTAGAGATAGATTAACAGACACAGAGAGACTGTTAGACACGATAGAGAATAGTGATATATTAACATCTAGTGACACCAGTCATCCTCCTCTTAGTCAAGGTGAGTCACTACTCTAAATATGGCTGAGATATTGTTGTCACTGTATGAATTGCTAGATATATAGAATATAGTAATTATTATCAATCTATGTGTAATATTAGAATTGTTGAATTGTCTAGTTTAAGACTAAACTAATCTAATAATTTATTACCCTATTATTTGTAAAACTAATGAATCTTTCACCAGTAGTGTAGTGTTAAGGTGAAATGAGAATTTAAATCATAGAAAGCACGGGCCTAGGTCTAAAGCAAGGACTATTCATAAATAAGTGCTGGTTAGCTTGGTAATCTTTTTTTAGTTTTAAATTTTTGTCGGCAGTACAGACTTGTCCTGTGCTTTAAGAAAAAGCTGCTTTGTAGAAATGTTCTTTTACAATCAGGGCCTATATGAAAAATAATGTATTTTTCAAAAGAATTGCATCCACAAAAAATTGCATCCCGATGAAAAGGAGAGATTTCAAAGTATTCTTTGGGACAGCAGGACATTTTCATAAATGGTTTCACTGTTTGTGCTGAGTAGAAATCTTTTAAAAGGTTGATTCTAGAGTAAAGGTCAGAGGAATCTTTTAGTCTGAATTCTTTAGAAATAATGATGCTTTCACGTTTCAGAATTACCAGAATACAGACCTTTCCAGCGATCTGAAGTTCACAAAATAGTCACAAGGTAAATAATACTGAGTTTTAAATTTACAACACACTGGTTGATTCTTCAATAATAACAACACACTGGTTGATTCTTCAATAATAACAACACACTGGTTGATTCTTCAATAATAACAACACACTGGTTGATTCTTCAATAATAACAACACACTGGTTGATTCTTCAATAATAACAACACACTGGTTGATTCTTCAATAATAACAACACTGGTTGATTCTTCAATGATAACAACACACTGGTTGATTCTTCAATAATAACAACACACTGGTTGATTCTTCAATAATAACAACACACTGGTTGATTCTTCAATAATAACAACACACTGGTTGATTCTTCAATAATAACAACACACTGGTTGATTCTTCAATAATAACAACACACTGGTTGATTCTTCAATAATAACAACACACTGGTTGATTCTTCAATAATAACAACACACTGGTTGATTCTTCAATAATAACAACACACTGGTTGATTCTTCAATAATAACAACACACTGGTTGATTCTTCAATAATAACAACACTCTGGTTGATTCTTCAATAATGACAACACACTGGTTGATTCTTCAATAATAACAACACACTGGTTGATTCTTCAATAATAACAACACACTGGTTGATTCTTCAATAATGAAAACACACTGGTTGATTCTTCAATAATGACAATACTCTGGTTGATTCTTCAATAATGACAATACTCTGGTTGATTCTTCAATAATAACAACACACTGGTTGATTCTTCAATAATGACAATACTCTGGTCTATTAAAGCCTGATGACAAAATTGGAAGTTATCGAGAAATATCTTAATAATAATAATAAAAACTTTATTAGACATCTGGTTGTACAAGGCAATCTTCCCTGAGATCTACATACAACTACAATAATATATTTACAAAATAATAACATAATAAAAATAGAAAATAGACATTTATAATAGATTGATGATTTAAATGCATGTAAAAACAAAATGAAATAAAAATAATCTAATGAAATATATAATATGAATATAAAAGATGAAAAGATATTGTAAAACAATTTGTAGAATAATTATCGTCTCTATTATTATCTTAGTTCCCTTTTCAGTGTTGTCAGTGTTTGGGCAGGCTTAGCGTAGCCTATTTATTAGGGTTTGATTGGTCATCAATGATTTCTTTAAATTAAACATCAATTAACATGTTGCATTGACACAAAATTCATTCAATTTGTCATGCAATGTCAAATTTAACCATCTGGTAACCAATCGACCTGGAAAATTGTCTCGTGTAGGCTTTTACTAATTTGTTGCAAAGTTTGTTTTAGGAATAATGATTCCTCATTCACCCCTGAAAGAAATGAATTGTACTGGATTATATGTAATATTTTTATTTATCAGTTTTTTAAGTCTCCTACCAGAAGAAGCCAAGTCATCCAATCAAACAGCTGATAGCGGATATGACATGTATTTAAAAGATGCCCATAAACAGGTCAGTGTTTTTCATCTGTTAACGTGTACATTGTTACATAGGTCGTTATTAAAGAAGTGTTTTATATCATAATATATTCTCTAGTGTTTATTGTTATAGATTAGTGTTACTTTCTTACTCCCCTTGGGTGTACATCCAATGAAATCACTGCATTTACAAGTTCTGTGATAAAAGAATAGTGGCTATTGCATTCAAGGTATAAGATGAAGTTCATAATAGCTTGACATTGTGATGATGCCACCTTGCCCGACAAGCTTTAATCTATCAGGTTTCATAATAGTGAAACATAATTTTGTTACAGTTTTCAGCAGTGGAACAAGTGTGTAAAGCCTGGAACTGGCCTAAAGAACCAGTCAAAGATCCTGATTTTAAATTGGAACCATTCTGGGAGGGTTCATTCCTGAAAATACTGTTAGACAAACTGTCCAGAACTCTTAATCAGGTAATTGTCTGTTCATTGGTTAAAGAAAGAAACAACTATATTTTACAAGGATATCAACCTCGGTTCTCAAGGATCATTTTTACCTGCTGGTCCCTGACCGAACCTCTTGGCATTATCTTTTTTCACAGCTGGGTCGACTGGAATTATGAGTGAAGATGACTTATTCATGACCAAGATTAGAACCCACAGCCACCATTTGTTCGCTGTAACTAAGTAAATAAGTCTTGTAAAGAACCAACTAACTGTGGTACCCCAAAATATTAAAGATTTTTAAAAGTGGTAGATTAAATATTGAAGATAGAAACAAACAGAATGTTATTTAAAGTTAATGTTTATTTTAATATTCTAGAGTTACGCTGTGAATTTATTAGTGACATCATTAATATCTCGACTAGTTCTACTACCCCACGCTAATATACAGGAATATCTACTAGATCCCTTTCTACCTACAATATCTACCACTAGAACATTATACTCTGTTTTAAAAAAGGTAATTATGATATCATCTGAATCACAAAACGATCTGGTATCAGGTGTCTAGAAGAGTAAGCATACCAGGCCTGGCGTCACACCACATAATACAATGTGAGCTTATATAGTCCTTACATGTTTTTAATCTGATTCAGATTTGTATTATTACAAACATGAGCGGTTGTTTTTATTTGCCATTAATCTTAGCTAAATTGAATCATTGTTTTACTTTGAGATGTATTCATACGCCATTTTGTCAAAAAGAAAAACGCCAGTTGTTGAAGCTGATTCAAAGGAAGGAATAATATATAATATATCTATATATTTATACACCAGGTTTCTGCTGAAGTGTTGGTATATATGAAAAGAGAAGGTGATTTCCAGAATAAACTCAGTTCAGCTAGAAAATATTTGATGGGTGACACAGACACTGTTACAAGGTAAGAAGAAGATAGTTAGACATAGAGGAATGGTCTGACAGACTGAGGTAGAGAAGATCTGACATAGACTATATAGATATATCAGTTTTATCAGATTGAGTCTAATCATAATTATTGTCTGTCAGAACTGTTTTTTCTTAATCCTTTGAACTTCCACCTGTTTAAGGGACAATAGCGAAATTTTCATTATCAAAAACTTGTAAATTATACCCGAAAATGTATTTTTTTCAGTTTAAAACTTTCAGATACATTAAGGGATATGTTTCTCTAGATTTTGGAGTATTTTTGGCTTATTAAAAAAATTGGATTTTCCCCTTAAAACTTGAAATACAAAGTAAATCTTGTAACAGTTGATTGAAGTAATGTATAGTTTAGTTAAGATTTTTGTGTGATCAAAATATGGTTTTATTTTGGATGTTTGTCATTAAATCAGTAATTATCTGTGGAGTTCAAAGGTTAATGAAAGACCTGTCTTGTTTCTCCTGACAATAATAACCTTTACAGTATCATAGTATCTAATATTGTCTATAGGCCTGGTTCTTAACCTTAGGTACTGGCACCCCCTGGGGGGATCAAACGTAAAGCAACTCTGGGGCTACTAGTATTCCCTTGGGGGACCAAACCAAAAAGTAACTCTGGGGTTACTAGTATTCTCTTGGGGGGCCAAACTAAAAAGTAACCCTGGGGCTACTAGTATTCCCTTGGGGGGACCAAACCAAAAAGTAACTCTGGGGTTACTAGTATTCCCTTGGGGGGGATCAACCACAAAGCAACTCTGGGGCTACTTGTATTCCCTTGGGGGGACCAAACCAAAAAGTAACCCTGGGGTTACTAGTATTCCCTTGGGGGGACCAAACCAAAAAGTAACTCTGGGGTTACTAGTATTCCCTTGGGGGGATCAACCACAAAGCAACTCTGGGGCTACTTGTATTCCCTTGGGGGGACCAAACCAAAAAATAACCCTGGGGCTACTAGTATTCCCTTGGGGGGACCAAACCAAAAAGTAACTCTGGGGCTACTAGTATTCCCTTGGGGGGACCAAACCAAAAAGTAACTCTGGGGTTACTAGTATTCCCTTGGGGGGACCAAACCAAAAAGTAACTCTGGGGCTACTAGTATCCCTTGGGGGGACCAAACCAAAAAGTAACCCTGGGGCTACTAGTATTCCCTTGGGGGGACCAAACCAAAAAGTAACTCTGGGGTTACTAGTATTCCCTTGGGGGGATCAACCACAAAGCAACTCTGGGACTACTTGTATTCCATTGGGGGGGCCAAACTAAAACGTAACCCTGGGGCTACTAGTATTCCCTTGGGGGGACCAAACCAAAAAGTAACTCTGGGGCTACTAGTATTCCCTTGGGGGGACCAAACCAAAAAGTAACTCTGGGGGTACTAGTATTCCCTTGGGGGGACCAAACCAAAAAGTAACTCTGGGGTTACTAGTATTCCCTTGGGGGGATCAAACCACAAAGCAACTTTTGGGGTACTTCCTTTGGGGGGATCAACCACAAAGCAAATCTTGAGGTACTAGTATTCCCATGGGGGTAACAGACCAAAAAGCAACTCTGGGAGTCCTATGTAGACTAAGAAACACCACAAAGCCTTACCTGTATAGCTATAGACCTCTCTGATGTTGGACAGAGTTAGATTGTAAAAGGGGGACCAAGGGTTGTGAATCAGGGTCTGTAGACAATTGTGTGCATCTTGGCATCTGATATGACCTATCTATTGTCTGTGTATATTTTGATAGTAAGTGCATAAGAAGCATGAATTGTATTCCAAAATATTATGTATAAAGTATATTTTGGTTAACCTACAAGAAAATATTTCAAACTAGGAATGTCTTTTCCCTTTTCTATAGATATATTTTCTTTATATGGCAGTGTCTCAAAAAAATACGAGTTGTCTTCTTTACTTCCAAACGTGGATAATTCTGGACACGCATGGGTTTGAAGGCTCAAATGTCGACGGTGAGCTGTGAACACTATTACTAATTGGCTTAACTAAACAATTCCTGTTTCTGAGACTAAAGTATGATTGGTCAGACAGTTAAACCTTTTTTTATGAAGGTAGAACATATCCCACCTCTAAACAGAATTTACAGCAGGAAACTTTTAACATTTTGAAAAGTACGGAAATTTACAATTGTTCTGAATACAGTGACAGATAATATTTAAACAATGATTTATAATCTAACAGGGGATGACACTAGCATTAAAATGTCAATATTTCTATCATTAATGGTATTGTTCTACAGGAAGTGACCTGTCAACTCCCTTTCACCAACCAGACGGTTTTTAATTCATATTTTAATCTGGTTTAGAAATATCTGATAGAGTCTCCAATAACGTCACATTAAAATCTTAACTTGTCATTATATCATTACTGTTTATCATCAATTGTATAATAATACCATCTATATCAAAATTTAATTTTTTTACGAATGTACCGTTATATCAATTTGTTCTATATATTAGAAGTTATTTTATCTATC